GTTCAGCGGAATGAAATTATTAGTATCGATAGAAAAATGTTATATGGGGCTAAAACCTGCATTTTTGTAGTCTTACCAACTTCTTGCAGGAGCAGACTCGTCCATAAAAATGCAGCTTTTTGGTTTCGTTACCTAAATAATTATTATCAACTCCGTTGTTTTTTTATGAAACATAGTACTGACTTTTATTCTATGCCGGCAATAGTGTCTGAAATTTTAAAAACAAAAAAATGGAACGGTTGATGGTGGAAAGGGATGTTATAATAGAAGAGATACATTTTAGGCACATGACAAATATAATGCTCTTTGAAGAGATAATTTAATTTCTTCATTTTTTTTCTCCTGGTATTGATCTATTCGTTATTGTTTATTTTTTACAACAATGCTCTTGGATGGAACGGATATGGTTTCTATATTATCTAACAGCCAAACTTTCTTTGCAATTCAAGTAAAAAAAATAATACATAATTTATTTGTTCTTAGAACAAAATATGTGGTTCTAGTTTGACAATAGGGAAAATTAGTTGCAAAAGACTAAAACCATTCATTCCTATCTATCTCTATCTCATAAAAACAACCCATTGAAAAATCCCAAATAATGCAAAATTAGAAAATTTGGTTTCCATATAAGGAATAATTTTTATTTAATCAGATTTTTATTATATAAAATTATTTTTTAATAAAGTTAACGAATTTTACGTCTTTTACTGAAAATTACCTCAATATTGGTAAAAACCACGTGTCGATATCCTTTATACAATAGGAAATATTAACAAAATTGTGGAATATACAGTGCATTCTCAAAAAAATAAATACCCAAAAGTATACAGGCGAATAGAAGATGAAAAATGAATTGTTGTTTCCCCAATAAATTAATACATGATCGAAAAAGCTTGAAGCTCTTGAAAATATTTAATAAAAATTATATTCTGGATGCCCCTTTAGGGAACAGTAGTCTTCTAAAAAGGCTATGGAGAAACCTCGTATCTATATCAATATACAAGAATAGAATCCTTTTCATTCTGTTTTTACTATACACCTCGATTTCAATGATTTATTCAAAAGAAAGTAACTATATTACATATTTATATAGATATTAACTTATGGGCAATGATTTTATTAATGCAATGTATGTTCAATTGCATTTTTGAAAAAGAAAACTGTTATTTTTTTTATGAAACTGTATGAAGCTTCAGAAATATTTCAGAATTATTTAATTGATTTGGTAAGTTAGTCGAAATAAAGAAATACTATCGAATTGAAAACAAAATTGACATAAATTTTTTTTCACGAACAATGAGGAATTAAATGCATAATATTCCGGAATTCCTTTATGAGATCTACAGCTCGAAAACCAGTAGCTGCCTTCTAGGCCTAAAGTGTTCTGTCATGAACATAGAGAACAATAAAACACGTTTCGTAATACATTTTAGTCTACAAACAAGCCTTATAGAAAGTAGTTTAAGTAGGTGTTGCATAGAATTACTCTAAATCTCAATTTATCTATAATAAATTCATTGAAACCGACGGTGTTTGAGAGATATATTCGTATAATATCCAGTTCCACTTAATGTATGTCTTTATTAAAACAGGAATAAAATTAATGAATTGTAGCTCTTATATTTTATTTTAATATACCATTTTAAATTTACAGCAGTTAAATATCTCAGTTTATTTGACTTGTACTTATGTCTGACATATTAATTTAAGTGTAGGTGCAGCAACTTTCTCACGAACTTAAAGTTTGAGATACTGCAACTTACTGCAAAAGAAGGAAAAACTGCTGGTGAAAATGTTTAAACTAAAATAATCATTTTAATAATTGATTTCTCAAGTATTACTCAGAAATAATAGAAAAGAAGTAGATAGAGAAGGAAGGGGTGGCCATTACAGATTTAGGAGCGAGTCGCACTTGCGATATAAATAATTGTTTTAATATTACCGAAGTATTATTCAAATAGTACTTACAAAACCGTTTGGAGTATAATTATAGTGAAAATGTACTGGTATAATTCATATGAGTCCGAACCTTTACTAGAGTACAGAGCCTTCAAATGATTACAAGCCACGTGGCCCTAAGCTTAGGCAACCAACATTGCACGGCTGGTACTGGTACTTGCCTGTGGTACTGTGGCAGTTAAATCGCACTTAGTTTTATTAAATGTGAATGTGCAAGTTAAATGTGTAAAGGTAAAATAAAATTTGAATAAACTTAAGAAACTCTCTCATCGTCTTAAATGTTTTTTCACATAAAAGAAACATTTATTTTTGTTTTATTTACTTTTAAATTGGAAATATTTTTTTAATATCTTAAGAAACACTGAAGAAAAGTTAACTTGAAATTATCTAGTCACATATCTCACTAACAAAATTTCGAGGAAAAGTTCGTCTTTTCCATTCGGGATGTTCTACAGGATCGCACGGGATTTGAATAAACAATTGCCTAATCTACAAGTGCAAGCATAATTTATAGCGCACATTAGCTTCGTTTCTGCAGCAGTTGAGGATAGGGTTACCAGATCTATTTCATGACAAACCCGGAGACATGACCCGTTTGTATAATTGACGCCTAAAAAAAAGGTTCTGCAATTGCAATCGGACTAATCGATGTCTAAAAAAAAGGACACAATCAGGAAATATATACTTTGTGACCCGGGGAAATGGATTTCGGGGGTAGGGCGTTGTATAATTGATGTCTAAAAAAAACACACAAAATGTCGAAAATATCTCACGATTTTCCCGCAACAAACAAAACCCGGGGAAATGACATGTTAACCCGGAGCCCGACGATGTGCCATCAAAACCCGAAGACTCCGGGTCAACCCCGGAGATCTGGCGAGCCTAGTTGAGGACCGATTTGAAACTATAAGAGATGTTTGACCAATTGGTTCGTGACCTTAAACTCACTGAAAGTATGTGACAACTTAAGTGACCGAGTATATCTGATAGTTTGAACAGTTTGATAGAGCTGCAGAAACCTATTACCGCGTGCATTCCCAGTTTAAATTATTGTCATAAAAACAAGTATTTATATATATATTGTTATGGTGTAGTTATGTGATAATTTTTCTATGTGTTTATATGAGCGCCAAATTAATTTTAATTTAAGTTTTTGTGTAACCTGTAATTTCAATTTTTAGTGTAGTGTTGGTTGTATACTTTGCCCTGCTAGCTGTAAACCCTGCTCAGGAGTTGGTTCAATTCAAACTAGTATTCTTCCAGAAACCATGCAAACTAACAACTCAAAAACAATAGAGGTTTAAATTAATTTATTAATATCAATCTGGTATTTAATATGGTCTATCAATATTTCAATTGAGAAATGTCACACAAATTGTCAAATATTTTGAAGTTCTTACACTGTTTTGAACACTTAAAACAAGAATTTATTTCGATCTGTATTACTGGTTGCCTTTTTGGATTTAATTTATATTTACTCGTATAATTTCTTGTTTTAATGTGTTCCTCTTTATATCTAATCTTATGATCTATAAATTTAAATAATTGGCCAAATATTTTTATGATGTTTGATATATGTCTGACTTAAATTTGTTTCAGCTGATTGATTCTAAATATAGCAAGCTTTTAAACGAAATTTACTGTTAGTCTGTGCACTATTTGTATACAACAATTGAAAGAAAGAAAGGTACCTTTTCTTTTTATATACCGGTTTTTGTTTGTTTCCTTTCCTTTCCGGTTTCAGTAGATGTTTGGATCCTATCTGCTACACCGTTTTCTGATTAATTTTCTGGTAACTTGCCACTAATACTGCTCCTCTGGCCTCTTATTTGTCTAGTTTCCTGGACCTCGCCTGGGATCGTCTTTCTTCCTCTTGGCTGCTGGCTTTCCGCTTTCTCTTTGCTGCTGATATGGATAGTTCGTTTTCTTTCTGCTGCTTTGATTTGTCTTCCGGGTTCTTTTAATATCTTTCTATATTATTTGACGTCTCTATCTCCAAATTCTTGTAACTAATCAATAATTATTATTTTTTTTCTCACTACCTTGATTTTGGTTTTTCCTCTGTTAAGGTTCCTTCACATATCTCGTTCTGCTTTCTTTTTACTTGCCGTTTTTATTTCTTTTTCACTCACCTCACTTCACTTAACCTTTACACTTCTATCCTATTATAGTTTCTTAACAATCTCCATTTACATTCCACTTCAAAATATTTCTTATTCTCTACTCTTATGTTACTTTTCTCTTTACTACTTGATTCCATGTGAATAACACTTTAAATTTTTGACATTTCTTTGACACATTGATTTTACCAAATTATGACATATCTTTGACCCTTCATATTTTTTTCTACTTAATATTATACCATATACTATAACTATTTATAAATACTCTAACATTTATTCTCTTTTATTAGATATCGGTAACGAATATGATTCCTAATACTGATTCAATACTAACAACAATAAATAATAACCACTTCAAACCATCATGTTTACTGCTTTGTCTTTTAAATAGACCTTTGATTTACATTTTGATTTGTTCTCTCATATCTGATTTCATTTCAATATATATATATTTTATTATTGTGTTGTTCTTATTTAAAACGAAAATAGCATAAACGGATAGATTGACAAAAATCCCACAGATATATTTTTTCCTCTGTCAATTATGATTTTATACAAAGCAGTCATTTCGAATGTTTTATTCAATTTTGTAGTGTAAATATAAATTTCCCAGTTGTAATTAATGACTTTCTAATATATTTTTGGTTCGGATCTTTCTGAACACATTTTAGCGATAACAAAATTTGATAAAATAAAGAATTATAGATGTACAAACAATTGGAGCAACTTGGGATATTATAAATTAGCTCGTATACAAAAATGACGATATTATGAGACCTAAAAAGTCAAATATAAAAGTTATGCACCTTTTATTTTATAAAATTTGTGTAATACGTAGTTTAATATCGACGTGTTGCGTACGGCGATTAAATTTAATCTCTATTTATAGCCCCTTGTCATGAAAGATTACGAACTTACCGGTAGTGCATCACACGTTTCGATGGGCAGGGGGTCCTCAGAGCAGTACATGGGGTCAGTCGGCTGCAGGATAGGTGGCCGAGGCGGCGGTGGCAACATAAACTCCGGGGGTGGACCGGGACAGTCGCAGTCGGCTCCCGCCTCCATGCCCCACATGGCCTCGAGACTTGGTGGTGGATCGTCGCCGTAATCTCCAGGTCTTTCCATAGACCTTAGCAGATTACTGCAAAAAATGAAAAGTTTGCTTGTTAATTAAAAAAATTAATTCAGTAATCTACGTTTTTAGTGCAATATCATTAGAAAGGACATGGAATATTAAAAATTTGTGAAAGTTAAAAAAAATTGTGTCCTGAGAATTTATAGTGATTTATTAAAATGTATCTATAAACCCATAGAGAAGACATTTCACAAAAATGTTGCAGAGCTATGTCATAACCTCCTAGATTTTTTCCAATATTACTGTATAAAAAAAAATTATAGTTGGCGTCATTGTCGAAAACATAATTATTGCTCGATTTTTTAACATTCATATTAAAGTGCCATAAAAAAATAAAATAGTGTAAATGTTGTAGTACCTATGTTTTATGCACGATTTGTTTTTTTTTTATTTGTCAAATCTATGGTAATGTTATTCAGTTATACATTTATTGTTATTATTTAATGACAATATTTATTTTTTTACTGCAAAAAGTTTTTTTGGGTAAATAGTTTATCTTGAATCAGTTACTGAGTTACTGTATTGTAAATTGTTTTATTTATCTGAGTTACGTAAATTCAATTATTTTGAATACTTACTGTTCAGTTAAATGAGGTTAACTGAGATCTCAGATAAATAAAACAAAGCCGTAGCTAAACTATTATTATTCATTTTAAATTTGCCGCCTAATTATATTACAAAACCAGAGCAATCTGTTAAACACTTTCTTGATCTTAATTAAACACATAGGTCCATTTCAGGAGCACAATAGATGGCCCTGGCAGTGGCATTCTGACACTGATAGTAGTTTAGAGTGACAACTTATTTCTTTATACGAAATCATATCAAGGTCTGTGAGATATGTTATGGTTTGTATCTCGTAAATTTAAGTTGTATCTATCTAATAATTAAGAGAATTGTCTCGTAGCGACGAGTTGTATCTCGTAAAGACGAGTTATAATTCGATATTACGATCTGTGTCTCATAATTATGATTTTTGTTTCGAAATTTCGAGTTATATCTCGTAATTATGATATGCGTTGTGTTTTGCTGTTTTAAGCTGTATTTTCTAATTTCGAGTTATATTTAGTAATGGTAAGTTGTATCTCGTAATGACGAGATATCTTGAAACTACTACTTGTATCTAGTAATTACCTGTTTTTGTCTGTAATTACGAGTTTTATCTAGTAATTATGTGTTCTATCTAGTAATTACGGTTGTATCTCGTAATAACAGGTCGCAATTCGAAATTACTACTTATATCCCGCAATTATGATTTAGCTGGTAATTATACGAGTTATATCTCGGAATTATAAGTTGTATTTCATAATTTCGAATTGTATAGTTTTCTGAATTCCGTAGCTACTTAGCTGTATGAAATACAATTTGTAATTACGAGGCAGAACTTGTAATTATGAGAACAATTTCTAACGATGAGATACAAGTCATAATTATAAGTAGGCTTAGTGCATGTGCAGAGTCTAACAGAGTCGGAGCGGGGTCTGGCCTTCACAGCTGACTCGCGTTTTGAACTGTTCAGTTATTTACAGAACCTTGTAGTAGTTGGTGTCGCGTCGATACCTTTCTTTTTTACGTCTGCTGTAAATTGTATTCGGTGTGTGTATTTAAATAACCATTTATAAATAGTAATATAATTTACATTAACAACTATTAGTTGGGGGTAAAAGTGAAGCAAAATGTCAAAAGAAAAAAGAAATAGATGGGAATTATTTCAAATGTGACAGCAATAAATATTTATCTTCGGTGTAGGTAAAGTAACTTTTTTATATAATTTATCAAAAAGATCACAATTAATATTTATTTTAACATACCAAGTTCGAGGATAATTGGTCTACTTTGGTACTTTTTGATTTGATAAATCATTGCCATTTTAATGATAAATAACTTTTAATAAAATTCCTGATCTATTACAAAAAAGGCACTTTATCTGCACAAGAGGTATCTGCACAAACTAGAGGTATCATATTTCGCCTATTTTCGGTTTAAAATCTTCATTCTACACTGAACAAACGATTTATTTGGACTAAATAAATATCGTTTGCAATGAACTAATCCTAGTTTTGGATACTGCTTAGCATATATAGTGTGAAAAGTAACTAATAATAAGTTCATAGTTTGGTAATAAACCTTATTTGAATGTTAATTTATTTTTACTGTAATATTACATTTCGCCTCTTTATTATTAATCTACATATTTTAATATGTAGGTGACATAAAATTATTAGAAATATATCTTGGCTTAATGTGAACTAACAGTTTTTCAGTGAAAATAGGTTATTTTAATATTAATAAATCAATGGTTTATAAAAAGTGAATTGTTTTTTACACTAATATTGGACGTATTTCTTTCTTGATTAGTCTCAAAATTACTTTCTCAAATTTAATTAAACTGATAATTAGATAACTTATCTAACTATAAGTCTATAATTAAATTTGAAAAGGTATATAGTATTGAGATCTACTAATTGAGAAGCACATACGAGTATACGATATACGATACTTTTATTCGAACATTTCATTTTTGCTAAAAATTAATTTTGAAACTTAAACATATCGTTCAAAACTGCTTGTCGTAATTGTTGACAGTTTTATGATTAAAAATAATTTTCGGATTTTTAAATTGGGTTTTATTATAAATTGATGAAACTACAACAGCAACACTATGTCCGTATCTAAAACTGAGTTTTTGATGGTTAGTACTTGTTGGGCCCTAACTTCCACAGTTTCTGCATCCATTTTAATTAGGAGCAATCGGAACACAGCACTCTGTAACTATATGCGCATGTTATATTATGAATATGATCTAAGAACAACAAGAAACACTACCTTTTGATTTAGTCCATACTAGCCTACTGAACTACACAATACACTACAGGCACCTTGCATACATAGCCGCCATGATGGCAAAGATATGACTGTCAGGGGAGAGCACAACTTGGTCACGTGATTGGAGTAATTTTTAAATAATATTTTTTAATATTGAACTGATAATAATTTTAAACTATATAAAAATTTAATTTTTATAACCAGCTGGTTCACGTTTAAGAAATTATATATTTGGAATAATTTTCCTTTAAAGTTTAATTCTAACGTTTGATAGGCCAATATAAAATAATATTTATTAAATAAAAACGAATATAAATTTGTATTAAAAATTTATTCTTTTAATTCGCCTAAACAAAACAACTGACTGCATTCAAAACAACCGATTGCTTTAATAGAAAGTAATTGTTTCTTCAGTGTATATTATTTTCCTAAACATGGAGCAAAAGACATATTTTTTCTTAATGACCGTCACGCAAATATCAAAATAGTACCCAGATCGTTAAAAAAATACAGTGTTCAAGCTTTCAGCAATAATAACACACATGCCATTCACGACATTATGTTTACCTTTTCTTAATTGTACTTAATGAACCACAATTTTGGAAACACAGTCGTATATTTCACATTTCTGTATCATCGATTTGCTTATCTATCTATTTTATGTATAGTTGTGTTGAATACAATAAAATAAATTTGACACAATGGCTTGATAACATTGTTTTAACATCGAAGTTATATTAAATGCCTATTTGATAGCAGATATAAATCGACAGTATATTGGTATAAGCTAATGTTTGTATCATTTTATTATTTTTCATCTTTATTTCATATTTTATTTATTTATATCGGCTTTTAGGTTTCTGTTTTATAGAAATCAGATTAGATGTCACACATATATAAAATATTATACGTATTTATCATTTCTCAGATAAAGTAGAGGATGGAGTAGATAACATATTATGTCTATATGCACTTTTACCTAAAATGTCATAGACATATTATGTATCGATGTTAAAAAGTAGTTTTTGTCAGGGGGTAATTAAAAATTACAGTTTTTTTGAAAGGGGCACCTCATGTATTGTTAAGACATTTGGATAGAATATGTTTTAGTGGTATAACATGGTTTAATGGGTCCAGTGGCAAGAGAGATATCAAATAAAGTCAAGTTTGTGTCTGACATGACACGTGACTTATCTACATTATTATTTGTATTAAAAATTACTAATAAATGTGTAAGGTTATGTACTTTTCTATACAATAATGGCGTTCCACTTGTAATAAATGTAAGTTTCTGTCTTAGACAGTTTGTATCACCCTGTACATTTTATCTATGAAAACATTGACAAAAAGTAGAACAAAACAGAAAAGTAACCACTAATTTTTCTTAAAGTCGCTATGTCATAAAGAATTAAAATGAAATGAAACCTATTATTACCGTTCATACCTACAAACTTGAGTTGTACCCTCTTAAAAAATAAATACTAGTTCTCTACTTCTGGCACTACGCAGACAGAAAATATTTGTTTCTAAAGTCGATTACCCCTGTGCCCTAATAATAAATAACGTTGCACAAACACATCTATCTCAACTATTTGTAAATGAAACATCTATCACAATAGAAATTATAAACCTGAACACATGCGATAATTTTTATCAGGAGTAATTTGGTTCAATCACCACGTTATCGGCTTTACGATAGTTTTCAATAGGATTATCTCAATAGTTTTATTTGCATTGTGCCGGGAAAATGCATCGAGTATTGGTAAATATTTGAATACGCATTTATTTCTTACAACATATATTGAACATATTGCGTTCGTGAGAAAAAAAATAGCCATGCGTTGCAAGCTGTAGTAAAACTAATGGAGATAAATAAAATCCATAGTATAAAATTGTACACTGAGAAAATTATTATCTAATATCAAACTAACCTGTGAGGTCATGTATGATTCCTTTAAATTTAAATTACCTAATTGTTTATTATCTATGTAGAATAATACATATTTTTTTTTATAACTTTACATTTAAATTACATATTATTATCATAAGGTTAGTTAGTTTAAATTAAATAAACGAAAAGTAAATCTTACACTATTTAATATTAAACTTTATGAATGGTAAATATTAAATAAATTTTGACTGCTACAAATGCACTGAAATTTTCAACAAAACAAAAAATT